ATTGAAAGGGTAATGCTCTACCAACTGAGCCACTGTTGTAAATATTTAGTTACATGTTAATTATAATCAAATATTTTGACTTGATTTAAATAGTTTGAGGCCCAGTCATGCACTTTCAAGTACCAACAGATCATAAATAAACAGATGAAGAATAACGAGACACCTGAGAATCGGGTCTTACACTTTGACAACCCTCTTTCCTCCCACTTGTTTGTGTCTCTTGGAAACCACAGTGTTATAGCTCACCTTGTGTTTGGTTGCCAGGGAGCTAATGAATGTTTCATATCTACTGTATTGCACTAAGTCCAGTGCTTCCTGGCAGATGCTCCACTGATCGTGTGTGGGCGTACACGCTGGTCCGTAAAGATGGCGATATCAATTAATGGAAAGCGGAAAGTGAACAGGATTGCAACAGCAGTACAGTGCCAGGCTCTGCTCATTTCTGCGAGCAGCCAGCGAGACGAGAGAGATTCAGATCGAGACCTCTGATCTCCCCACGGTGGTGTTGGGAAATTACAAGCGAGACTGCAGTGAGTTCTGCTCATTTTAATGACAAGCATATCCGGGTGGTGTTAGAGTCAGAGCACATTTAAATGAAAAACAGAATGGAATCAGTTGTAATACCAATTGATCCAGACATGCACAGACATGAAAATAGATATCCACTATAGTTCCCCCACGTCCACTTTGACTGCTTTACTGTTCCAGTATCTGTGTCAATGCCGAGGTGAAATCATTATACACTGCATTATACATAACTTACCGAGTCTGCACTCAGATGTCTTACTGACTGGAGCAGAACATGGACCCGTGCACTCTTTCACTGCATCCAACAGATCCGTGAGTGCAAAACTGAAATGATCCCCAGAAACAAAGAAAGCATTATCTGTCGCCTCCAGTCCCTCTCACTATAACCTTCAAATCAGATCAGGAATCTGGGGGTAATGGACTCAGACTTCAGTCTTAACAGCAGCAGCTTTTTACCTCCTGAAAAACATGGTCAGAATCAAAAAAATAAATGGCAATGTTATAAAAACTAGACACGGACTAGACTTGGAGATCCTTACCCAATCCTAAAGCCTAGTGTATACTTCTATTATTTCTACTTCTACTACGTAAGGGTCTCCACAAGGAATCTCCGCTGTGATTGGTCCGTGTGTGTGTTTTGGGCGGAAGCATGAAGCGACTGCAGCACGGACAATGGATGAGGCACTTCGGAGCAGAGAGCTTTGAGCTTCGAAGGAAACGAAGGAAAAGCAGTTTGGGTTCAGAGCCTGATATACAGGAGACTGTGGACTATCTAACATATATATAACTTATATCTAACATATATATAACTTATATCTAACATATATATAACTTATATCTAACATATATATAACTTATATCTAACATATATAACTTATATCTAACATATATGTAACTTATATCTAACATATATAACTTATATCTAACATATATATAACTTATATCTAACATATATATAACTTATATCTAACATATATAACTTATATCTCACATATATAACTTATATCTAACATATGTATAACTTATATATTTATAATGTTTGTCTGAGATATTTACCATTTATTGTTTTGCTGTTTGTGATGAATACACTTTAATAATAACTATGTTTCCAACAAGAACTGTGTCTTTATTCACAACATCACAGTTAAATGAGTTAAGAAATAATGAGTCCATAAAACTATCACATAAACCTACAGTAGAAACACGTGTAATGATCTCAAACAGCTCGGTTTGTTCATGTTTTCGTTCTGAAGAGGAGAAAGAAGCGTAAATGAGACCGCTTTGGTGTCTCAATCAACTCCTGTGAGATCGCCATCATGTGGTTGGTTGTGGGATTACAACATTCTCCTCAAAACTCAGCATCCATCCATCCATCCATTTTCTTCCCCTTAATCCATTTCTGGGTCGGGGGGGTGGCAGTCAGAGCTGCACCCAGTCCACAGAGCACCAGCCCCTCACTGATCCTCCTGCAGGTGGTGAGTCCACAGGAGCTGAGATCTTTCAGTTGGGGCTTTGGGCAAAGTAGGGTTAAGTGTCTTGGCCAGGGACACAACGACAGCAGTCATCAGTGGGAGTCGTGAAGTAGGTCTTGCGGTGGGGTCGAACCCACGACCTTCAGGCCCAAAGGGCAATGCTCTACCAACTGAGCTACTGTCGCCCTCAAAACTCAGCAATGAGTATAAATTAAATTGTGCTTACGTAGGTCCACCACAACCGCTAACGTAAGCAGCGCCGCGCAAGTATACACTAGGCTTTAGCTTTGCAAATAAAACTTGCCTTACTGCAAAATTGAAGTGAAATTGAACAAAAGCCAAATCATGTCCGTTCTGATACTGTATTATGAAAACACATGTAGTACATATTTGAATATACTTCAAACTGGGAACTCAGACATGTGCTCTTCACTGAAGAGTACTCAGGTCCTGTGTTTCAAGACCCTCTGATCAGTCGGAGGTGAGTGCACTGAATCCACTGCAGTCTCCTCCTGTAGCTGCTGTCTCCTCCTGCTGCTGTCTCCTCCTCCTGCTGCCGTCTCCTCCTCTGTCTCCTGCTGCTGCTGTCTCCTCCTGCTGCTGCTGTCTCCTCCTCCTGCTGCTGTCTCCTCCTGCTGCTGCTGTCTCCTCCTGCAGCTGCTGTCTCCTCCTGCAGCTGCTGTCTCCTCCTGCAGCTGCTGTCTCCTCCTCCTGCTGCTGCTGTCTCCTCCTGCAGCTGTCTCCTCCTGCTGCTGCTGTCTCCTCCTGCAGCTGCTGTCTCCTCCTCCTGCTGCTGCTGTCTCCTCCTGCTGCTGTCTCCTCCTCCTGCTGCTGCTGTCTCCTCCTGCTGCTGTCTCCTCCTGCTGCTGCTGTCTCCTCCTGCAGCTGCTGTCTCCTCCTCCTGCTGCTGCTGTCTCCTCCTGCAGCTGCTGTCTCCTCCTCCTGCAGCTGCTGTCTCCTCCTGCAGCTGCTGTCTCCTCCTGCTGCTGCTGTCTCCTCCTGCAGCTGCTGTCTCCTCCTGCAGCTGCTGTCTCCTCCTGCAGCTGCTGTCTCCTCCTGCAGCTGCTGTCTCCTGCTGCTGCTGTCTCCTCCTGCTGCTGCTGTCTCCTCCTGCAGCTGCTGTCTCCTCCTGCAGCTGCTGTCTCCTCCTGCTGCTGCTGTCTCCTCCTGCTGCTGTCTCCTCCTGCTGCTGCTGTCTCCTCCTGCTGCTGCTGTCTCCTCCTGCAGCTGCTGTCTCCTCCTGCTACTGTCTCCTCCTCCTGCTCTGCTGTCTCCTCCTGCTGCTGTCTCCTCCTCCTGCTGCTGTCTCCTCCTGCTGCTGCAGTCTCCTCCTCCTCCTGCTGCTGTCTCCTCCTCCTGCTGCTGTCTCCTCCTGCTGCTGCAGTCTCCTCCTCCTGCTGCTGCAGTCTCCTCCTCCTGCTGCTGTTGTCTCCTGCTGCTGCTGTCTCCTCCTCCTGCTGCTGTCTCCTCCTCCTGCTGCTGTCTCCTCCTGCTGCTGCTGTCTCCTCCTCCTGCTGCTGTCTCCTCCTGCTGCTGCTGTCTCCTCCTCCTGCTGCTGTCTCCTCCTCCTGCTGCTGTCTCCTCCTGCTGCTGCTGTCTCCTCCTGCTGCTGCTGTCTCCTCCTGCTGCTGCTGTCTCCTCCTCCTGCTGCTGTCTCCTCCTGCTGCTGTCTCCTCCTCCTGCTGCAGTCTCCTCCTCCTCCTCCTGCTGTCTCCTCCTGCAGAACCAATCAGCAGAGACAAGCAGGTGGAAAACAAGGGATTGTGCATCATGGATTTTGATCTGTCTGCTCCTCCAGCCTCACACAGTTTTCAAACAAAACTGTTTTGATGCTAATCTGTCAATGTACTTTAGCATAGTCCAGTACAGCACAGTAGACTATAGACTGTAAGTATTAGCACACATACTCACGCCTATTTCTGTCGTTGAAACTAGTGTGCCACCGCTTTCACCTTCTGTGGCTTTTTCAAAATGGCCGTGGGGCAGGACAATGTGAAAAAAAACAACACATTTGTGCATGTGTTAGCTGCACTTGCCCCATTCTTTTAACGAGTGCATTGAAAAGTCCACAGCGGCTAAACTAGACTGGTCCAAACAAAATACTCCCCTCAACATCGACAACATCTGGAACGTAGCGTTGGACCATCCTGTAAAGACGTTTTCCAGAAGAACGAAGACGCCATACAAAAGCATTGGGTAATTCTCTTTCCGGGTACACCCCCACCGGCAAGAAGTGAGACTGCTGCATGTCAGCGCAAATCTCTCCAGTTTGGAACAGATTGGAGGCAGAAACTCCTGCAGCAGCTGAAAAATATCAGCAAATGTGTGAACTTTCAAAATATATTTGATTTTCAGCAATGAATCAACCTGTACACGGCACGGTGGCTGAGTGGATAGCACTCTCGCCTCTCAGCAAGAAGGTCCTGGGTTCGAATCCCGGTCGGACCAGGGCCTTTCTGAGTGGAGTTTGCATGTTCTCCCCATGTCTGCGTAGGTTTCCTCCGGGTGCTCCGGTTTCCCCTACCACTAAAAATATGTCCAATAGTTCTGGCATGCGCCTCCTGTACTGGCCCCGCTCCCATCTCTGTGTGGAGTGAGAGACAAATGCCCAAAATTAACAATTGTAAACCGCTTTGAGACTCAGATCTGCAGTGAAAAGGCGGTATATAAATAAAAACTTACTTACTTACATCATTTTTTGGGTTACGGTTGAAACTTTTGAAGAAGAATGCTTTACATTTTGGTATTCAACTTTTCCTTGGAGAATGATAAGTAGAGAAGTAATGTCACTGTAACAATGTGTATTTGGATCCACTAAAGTGCAGAGCCAGACGATCAATAAAGTATCTTTCTATCTATCCATCTATTTTCATTAGGGCTGCAATAACAAATCGATAACATTGATCTAAATCGATTATTAAAAGTGTTGGCAACGAATTTCATTATCGGTTCGTTGTGTCGCAACATTAAAGGAGCTATACCCGTTTCTGCAAGGTTTGAATGTTTAGCACCGCCCCTCAACCTGCTGACAGGGTGCAGCACCCAGAGCAGCAGCACCCAGAGCCACAGAACCCGGAGCAGCAGTACCCGCAGAAGCAACACCCAGAGCAGCAGTACCCGCAGAAGCAGCACCCAGAGCAACAGTACCCGCAGAAGCAGCACCCAGAGCAGCAGTACCCGGAGCCACAGCATCCAGAGCAGCAGTACCCACAGAAGCAGCACCCAGAGCAACAGTACCCAGAGCAGCAGTACCCGCAGAAGCAGCACCCAGAGCAACAGTACCCGCAGAAGCAGCACCCAGAGCAGCAGTACCCGCAGAAGCAACACCCAGAGCAGCAGTACCCGCAGAAGCAGCACCCAGAGCAACAGTACCCGCAGAAGCAGCACCCAGAGCAGCAGTACCCGGAGCCACAGCATCCAGAGCAGCAGTACCCACAGAAGCAGCACCCAGAGCAACAGTACCCAGAGCAGCAGTACCCGCAGAAGCAGCACCCAGAGCAACAGTACCCGCAGAAGCAGCACCCAGAGCAGCAGTACCCGCAGAAGCAACACCCAGAGCAGCAGTACCCGGAGCCACAGCACCCAGAGCAGCAGTACCCACAGAAGCAGCACCCAGAGCAACAGTACCCAGAGCAGCAGTACCCGCAGAAGCAGCACCCAGAGCAGCAGTACCCGCAGAAGCAGCACCCAGAGCAGCAGTACCCAGAGCAGCAGTACCCGCAGAAGCAGCACCCAGAGCAGCAGTACCCGCAGAAGCAGCACCCAGAGCAGCAGTACCCGCAGAAGCAGCACCCAGAGCAGCAGTACCCAGAGCAGCAGTACCCGCAGAAGCAGCACCCAGAGCAGCAGTACCCGCAGAAGCAGCACCCAGAGCAGCAGTACCCGGAGCAGCAGCACCCGGAGCAGCAGCAGCAGCACCCAGAGCAGCAGCAGCAGCAGTAGCACCCAGAGCAGCAGCAGCAGTAGCACCCAGAGCAGCAGCACCCGCAGCAGAAGCACCCACAGCAGCAGCACCCGCAGCAGCAGCACCCAGAACAGCAGCAGCACCCAGAGCAGCAGCACCTGGAGCAACAGCACCCGGAGAAGCAGCACCCGGAGCAGCAGCACCCGGAGAAGCAGCACCCAGAGCAGCAGCACCTGGAGCAGCAGCACCCGCAGCAGCAGCACCCACAGCAGCACCCAGAGCAGCAGCAGCAGCAGTAGCACCCAGAGCAGCAGCACCCGCAGCAGCAGCAGCACCCACAGCAGCAGCACCGCAGCAGCAGCAGCACCCAGAACAGCAGCAGCACCCAGAGCAGCAGCACCTGGAGCAACAGCACCCGGAGAAGCAGCACCCGGAGCAGCAGCACCCGGAGAAGCAGCACCCAGAGCAGCAGCACCTGGAGCAGCAGCACCCGCAGCAGCAGCACCCACAGCAGCACCCAGAGCAGCAGCAGCACGCGCAGCAGCACCCAGAGCAGCAGAACCTGGAGCAACAGCAGCACCCAGAGCAGCAGCACCCGCAGCAGCACCCGCAGCAGCACCCTGATCCTCATCAGCGTGTTGGAACTGAGTAACTTCAAAATTGTCTCATTCAAAGAAATGTATCAAAGTTTAGTGTGTGTTTCTGTGTGTGTTTGTGTGCGTGTATGTGCAAGTGTTTGAGTGTGTGAGTGTGCGAGTGTGAGTGTGTGCAAGTTTTTTAGTGTGTGCGTGTTTCTGTGTGTGTGTGCGTCTATGTGCGAGTTTTTTGGTGTGTGCGTGCGTTTCTGTGTGTGTACGCGTACAGTATGTGCGAGTGTTTGAGTGTGTGAGCATGCGTGTGTGCGTGCATGTGTGTGTGTGTGAGTGAATGTATGTGTGTGTATGTTTGTGTGTGTGTGTGTGTCGTATCTTCAAACCGCCAAAGACGCTCTCTGCAGCGGCTGCTATAACGTGTGTTGTGGCTTCATGTGACAAAGCTCTCATCACAGCCACAGAAGTGTGTGTGCCCGGGGGATGTCGGGGTTAGTCTCCCCCGCCTCGCTCTGTCTCGCGGCTGGGGTTCGCAGAGGGTGGGGTTCGCAGAGGGTGGGGGGTCGCTCCTGGCATGTTTACAGCGGCCCCTCGGGGTACGGCGCGCTGCAAAATACGACATGTCTATTAAAGGAGCCAATATATGATGCTGCCATTGTTCACGTAAAGGTTTCTATCCACACCGAGAAAAGCCGAGTCCATGCAGTAAATCCACAGGTCTTGTAAAAAAAAGTGGCACAGATTTGCGATGGCACATTTTTGATTTTGATTAGAGGCCGATCAATTCTTCAGATTAAATTCACTATGTTATATACCAGGGGTGTCCAAACCTTTTAGTTCACCAGACTAGTCGTACCACACCATAGTACAAATGACGTTTCGTACTAAGGTCTGGATTTGCTCCATTGACTCTGTTAACAGGTGGGAGGGGCTAACTCCTTTTGCAGATTGAAACAATTGGATCTGAGTTTACCGTGACGTATGTAATGCGCCCGAGTCTGTTGTTAGCGTTTAGCATTTAGCCTAGCTTAAGCATCTCCTTTGCCGCTAACGGAGCCCGTGGGGAGTAGCGCCACAATTTTTTCCAGCGATTACATTTGCTAAACATTACCCTTGCTCCGGCTTCAATTTCTTGATAGAACCAGACCGGATTACTTTACTATCGCATTTTTCGCCAAACTACAACCTGCCCGTTCGGCGCAAACTCTTGACATCACCCATAACTAACTACAACACCCGCCTTCCACGCTCTCTGACACGCTTGTATTTGCAAACACAGGGTCCAGACCCAGACGTTACACGCAGGAAATGATGATTGAAGGGAGTGTACGGATGGATAAGGCCAGGCTAGGAGCCGACGTCACGGACTGAAAAACTGTCTTGACTGGGATCGGACTGTTCTGAACTTTATGATGATCTATAACAGAGCTGAAGTTGGCTGAATGACACATGTTTACCACCTCACCAGCTGCATTAGCAACATTAATGGAAGTTTGTGACACAATCAAAGACACGTCAGTAAACAATTTTATTATTGTTTTTTTTTCTTTCATCTCTGAAGCTCGAGCTCAGTGTGATTTCTTGCAATCTTGCTACATCTTGTACTGGTTTTTTGTGAATAGGGATAGGCGTAATAAGTGTATAACTTCAGCCTGTGAATGTTAAAGGTTTGTACTTAATGTGATTGTCTGGAGTTTGTCAGAAAAAAAGAGAGAGAGGTACTTGAAAAAACCGACGCAAGCTCCTCCCCCTTCCTTTCTCATTGGTCTACGCCTACGTTTCTGTTACAATCAATCAACACGTTTAAATGTTTATCGAAAAATACTTTATACATATACATTATTAATACACATGCACAGAGGTTTTCAGAATTATTTGTTAAAGTTTTCATGAAAAAAATAATGTTTTAATTATCACAAAAAAAGCGATCGCGGCAAACCCGAAAGTAGCTATTATGATTAATTGAACATTATAGGACCCATCTGCAGAGGATCTGATTATGGATATAGGTTCATTATATAAATGATTATGGATATAGGTCCAGTATATAAATGATTATGGATATAGGTCCAGTATATAAATGATTATGGATATAGGTTCATTATATAAATGATTATGGATATAGGTTCAGTATATAAATGATTATGGATATAGGTCCAGTATATAAATGATTATGGATATAGGTCCAGTATATAAATGATTATGGATATAGGTCCAGTATATAAATGATTATGGATATAGGTCCAGTATATAAATGATTATGGATATAGGTTCAGTATATAAATGATTATGGATATAGGTCCAGTATATAAATGATTATGGATATAGGTTCAGTATATAAATGATTATGGATATCAATCAATCAATCAAAGTTTATTTGTAGAGCGCCTTTCATGCACAGGGCAACACAAAGCGCTTCACAGTCCACATCACAAATCATCACATAAAACAAACACCAGAATCACAATTAAAACATTAAAATCACACAAAAGATTAAAACACAATAAAAACAATAAAATCACACAAAAGAATAAAACCATTAACACTTTCAAAGTTACACAAGAAATTTAAAAAAATAAATAAATAAATGACAGCAAATGGAGTGCATTACAAATGGAGATAAAATCCTTCAGTTGTATGCACAGGCAAACAGAACAGTCTTTAACCTGGATTTGAACATTGACAGAGTAGACGCCTCCCTCACATTTTCAGGGAGATTGTTCCAGATCTTAGCTGCATAGATCTGAAACGCAGCCTCCCCATGTTTGGTTCTCACTCTGGGCACCAGCAGGAGGCCAGTCCCTGTGCTCCTCAGAGTCCGGGCTGGTTCATATGACACCAACATGTCACTAATGTATTCTGGTGCAAGGCCATGGAGAGACTTGTACACAAGCAGAGCTGTTTTAAAATCTATTCTTTGAGCCACAGGAAGCCAGTGCAGAGACCTGAGGACCGGACTAATATGGTCATACTTCCTGGTTCCTGTCAGGACTCTAGCTGCTGCATTTTGGATGTACTGCAGCTGCTTACAGGTCTGTTTGGACAGACCTGTAAGCAGGCCATTGCAGTAGTCTAGCCTGCTGGAGACAAATGCGTGGACAAGAATCTCCAAGTCTGCCCTGGACACTATATTTCTGACTTTGGCAATGTTCTTCAGATGGTAAAAAGCTGTTGATGTTATTGATTTTATGTGGCTATTGAAATTTAGGTCTGAGTCCAGTATTACCCCCAAATTTCTGACCTTGTCTGAAGGAAGTAGGGAGAGAGACTGAAGTTGACAGATGACGCCCTCTCTTTGTTTCTGGGGACCAAAGACAATGATTTCGGTTTTGTCTGCATTTAGCTGGAGGAAATTATTTTGCATCCACTCACTGATCTGTTGGATACAGTGAAGGAGCAAATCCAGTGGTCCATGTTCTCCTGCAGTCAGTGAGACATAGATCTGAGTGTGGTCTGCGTAATTGTGGTAGGACACTTTGTTTCTTTGTATTAACTGACCTAACGGCAGCATGTAGAGATTAAATAGGAGAGGTCCCAGGATCGACCCCTGTGGTACTCCACAGGTCAGGGCCACATGATCTGAGACGCAGTCTCCAATCTCCACAAAGTACTTCCTATCCTCCAGGTAAGACCTAAACCAGTCTAGGGCTGTGCCAGTGACACCAACCCAGTCCTCCAGTCTCTGCATGAGGATCTCATGGTCGACAGTGTCGAACGCGGCACTAAGATCTAACATGACCAAAACTGTGACTTTACCTGCATCAGTGTGAAGTCGAATGTCGTTTGTTACCTTCACTAGAGCGGTCTCAGTGCTGTGGTGGGGTCTAAACCCAGACTGGAACATATCAAAAGAATTATTCATTGTTAAAAATTCAGTAAGTTGTTGGGAGGCCACTTTTTCAAGAATTTTTCCAATGAATGGCAGATTCGATATGGGGCGATAATTTTGAAGTCCCGCAGGATCCAGACTGCTCTTTTTTAGGAGAGGTCTTATGACTGCTGTTTTTAGGGCCATAGGAAATGTTCCTGACGACAGAGACATGTTTACTATTTGTGTCAGTGAAGGTAACAAACTGCTCAAGACGGACTTCAGAAATTTAGAGGGCAATATATCCAGGCTACATGTGGAGGAGCTCAGACTCATGATTATCTTTTTGACAGTTTCAGTATCCACAGGTGCAAAGTGAGTTAGCTCAAAAAGCTTCTCTGGCTGTTGCATTGTTATACGTGCTGTGGAGGTGATAGTGTTTTTGATTCCTTGTACTTTGTCATCGAAAAACTGTGCGAACTCATTACACCTAGATTTAGAGGAAAATTCTAGGGGCAACTTTACAGGGGGGTTCGTTAATCTACCAACTGTTGAAAACATAACACGAAAATTGTTACTGCAACCTCCAATAATGTCAGAAAAATACATTTCTCTTGTTCTACGTAGAACCCGGTTAAAT